TATTCCGTGAAGTTTGTGAACACTGATTATGTAAAGGATGGCAGGTTGTTTAGCTAAGGTCTGTTTAAAAATCGAAACTTTTGGTTGAAGACTACAACCAGTGTAGCTTAGAATCGACTGGAGATGCTATATACATTCTTGACATTGTACACTCACTGCTGAACAATATTCATTTGAGAAGCTTTAATCCCTCAGGTGAAATTCATTATCTCCAATTGTATTTGATTCACAAGTTAGATAGTATAACTACCAAGCCTGTATGAAGCCTTTAGTTTTAGACCTGAATTTAACGATTTCTCTGACTGATTCGTTTTTCATTTCGCCACATTAATTTGAACAATTAACTCATCATTTTCAGTTTCACACTGGTTTGAATCACCTACATTACTGTCTTGTGATGCAACAGTCGATACGTGTAATAATTGATGTGTGTGTGTGTGTGCGTGTCACAATCATTAGTATTAATTAACATTAGTAATTATTTCCCTTTTTTTAAGGAAAATGATCTTGCTTGTTTTATTTCTGATAAACTTTCTGTCATAAAACGAACATCACCACTTTTTGTTTTACTTATTCTACTTCCGTTTATTTTACAAATCAATATTTTCGCCAACTTTAATTATTTCTTTGCCTAGAGTTACTTTTTATAACTTTTTTTCGATCTATTATTCATTCTATCATAAAAGTATTGATTCTTATTTTTCCAGTTGTGTAAAGTAGAGAAACCATAAGAAAGTAAAGATAAAAAGGCGCCGAATTTAACTTGCCGAGTAAATAGCTCTTTTCATTTCTTCCTTTTTTTCCCATTTCTACTTGATAATGAACATCTGATTAGGATTCTGATTTCTGATTTTTGATTACAGCTTCATTCCACACCGTATTTTTGGTACATGTATGGGATTTTCAGCATGCGATATCGGTAGCCCAAATTTTGCAGGCCGACCATAGATATCAGGTGTGCGTCGGCGAGGGATCGAACCCCGGACCATGTGCATGGTCGGCGAGAGTCCTAACCACTGTGCCAACGACGCACAGTATATATATATAGTTTTCATCTGATTAAGTTCTATTGCTGTTGACTTCATTTCATTACTGTTATCATTATATCAAAAAAGGAAACTTGCTTTAGTGGAAAACCTTTTTTTAAAAAATACGGATGCAACATTTTTTCTTTGTTTAAGGACTTAATGTTTAAGTATGAATTTCTTTCTCTTTTCATTGTTCTACTGAGAATTTTCTTTGTTGCATTAAGATACTACTAACAAATGAAAGTAATATATAGGTGATATGTATATTGTCTTGTTAGGTGAAATTATGGAATCAAAAAGAGATAGTTGAGCATCGTAAAAGTATTTCATAGGAATGTAAGAATAAATCTTCAGTTGTCAAATACAAGGTTGTTTGTTTATGAATAATTATCACGTGATATGCCTCAATACCATAAAATTTGTGAAGTTAAGCTAAATTAGCCTATAGGAAATTGTTGTTTTCAGTGGTATTTACGTTTTGGATTCTATTCACCATTGGAGTTTTATTATCTGCCTTATAACATACATATATGTATATATATATATCACTTCGAATACCTATAGATTTATCGCATAAACTAAAGATTGTAAACAAGAGATGAAAGCGAAAGAAGCCTATATAAGCAAGGCGTTCCAACAGAGTTTAGTCTTGTAATCTGAAACACTCATGAGATTTCGCGAATTTTGATTGATTTCGCCACGAACTAACATCACTTAGAGATTTTTGAAAAGCAGGAAAGCACTGGTCATCTGTCTCGTCCTAGTTGGGGACTCTTCATCAGTGCTCACCCCCATCCTACCATGGATCGAATCCGGGACATTTAGGTTATTAGGCCAAGTTCATTGACCATTTAGCCACTTGGAATAGAATCCAATGATCTGTGAATTCTAACTCTGTGCACTCAGCTCTGAACTAGGATGAAACAGCTATCCAGTGCCCCCTGGTTTTCAATGATCTCTAACTAATGTTTTTTCCTGAAGAAATTCAACGGCTGGAATTCATAGATTTTATTCAAGAAAGGGAAACTTGCAATTAGTTGGTTATTTCACACTTACCTTTTGAATTTTTCTGTTTTTGTAAACAAAAAGAATGTATTCAATTCATGTGTTAAAAATCTCCCCTCCTCGCCCCCCCCCCACACCCCTTCAACTTTGTTATCAGCCTTCAGATATCTGAAGTGAGTTCATTAATAATGCAAGGGTGTTCTTTTCCCCTATATTTCCTGTATGCAATTCTTATCTGTTTGAATAACAGGCATAACTGTTCGCTTAGAAATTGATTTTATTTCTAATTAATAATATACAGGATAATAACTGTTTTTTGGTGTTTTTTGCAAGCTGTGATATTCAATTATGTGAACGCTTCATTATTCATATTACACACGACCTTACTTCATAAAGAAATTTTGTAATGATGAAATGTTCACAGTCAAATGAAAGTTATCTCTCTGCATTCAATGTACTTACTGAAGAATTCAATGTAATTGTGACACGGTTATTTGTAGCGGTTGCCGTAATCACTCACTAAAGTAGTGAGAGTTAGGATTCTCTTACTGTTTCAAGCAAAATAATACTGAAAATGATTTTTAGGCTTACACTGAAATCTCTACTGAAAAAAATACTCGAATTGGATGATTAGCAAAACTACCGTTACGTCAACAACTTGATTCGCAAACATTTTTACAAAGACAAATAATTCAGTTTACCATACAGAAATCGTTAACTTCGGTGCTAGTTTAAGTCTCGATGACTATCCTGACTTTCCTCATAATTCCTGATATAGATTGACTTTTAACTGTACTCAACTGAATTGGAAAAAAAAATGATTGCATGTACACGTGGCTATGATCCGCATTCAGAGTGTAAGGTCTACCTTAGTCGCCTCCACTGGGAAGTAGGTAGAGTGTAATTCAGACCCGGTACCCACCGGCTGAGATCAACCACGTGTTTATCTATGGTAGTTGAGGATGTACTATTCATTCTTGTTTGATAATCCTTGTTCAAAGTCACATATAATTCACAGTGCAATGGTTTTTAGACAGGCGTGTTTAGACTTCCGAATCACATTTATTTCTCAGCATAACTGTCATAAACCACCGTGTTTATTTTTGTAAATATCCAAACTATAAATGTTGCAAATTTTGTCTGAGTATTTTTCAAGAGGGTTTTTGTCAAAATGAAACTGTTAATTCTTCTTCTTCTTCGTTTTTTTTTAAATGTCTAATTTGCATGACAAAAAGTATTTTATTTCATATCACATTGATCTATGCTGATCTGATCGATAGCATTGCTGATGGTAAGATTTACTCACAGCATTGCTATTCTGATCAAACTGTGCACAACTACTCGATAATTATAATAGAAGAGATTTTAGTTTTTTTTGGTAATTGGTTAGCGTTCTACTTTTCAAAATCCAGACGAATTGGATGTGAATTTTTAGTTATACAGAGTTATTGAAAAAAAAAATAATAACATATATACGCTGTTCTCCTATTAATCGATAAACATCTTTATGTTTAAATAATACTATAGTTTCGTTGTAAGAGTTAAGTTATCTGTCTCAATAATCGAGGGTAAAACAAATTGCTGACATCACTCACCAATATCGAAACTATTACTACCAATTGTCAGTTGAACTTATCAAGTTTAATATCTGACGCTATGGAGAAGCGAAATTGATAAGAAAAAAAAACAAAGTTAAACAGATAAACAAGAGTAAAACATAATTATAGTATGGTAGATTAGTTGTGTTGAGATGTAGACAAAAAGACAAAGTATAACCATATCAGCGTAAGCCTTGAATTGATCAACAATTCATGCGATTATTATTATTATTGTTCCCTTGGGTTCCTAGTGGAACATAGGGCTTCAACTGCACGTCTCAACTTGCTTCTGTCTTCTGCTGTACTTTTCACCTGCATCCATGTTAGTCCATACTGTTTCAACTCCTCTTCACACGATCTCCATGTCACCCTTGGACGTCCCACTCGCCGCTTCCCTTTCGGGTTCCACTCGAGCACTGGCCTGACGCGCGATGTCACCCAACGGCCTCCTCAGCGAGTGTCCAATCCATCTCCACTTTCTCCTGCATATTTGTTGGGTGATTGGTTCTTGTTTTGTTTGTTCCCATAGTTTGTTTCTTGTTGGTGATTCTTTCCGGCCATCTGATCTTCAGTATAGAGCCAGCGAAGACAGTTGTTGATAAAGGTCTGCAACAGGCTGTTGGAAATATTCTTTGTGACCCGCCGCCAAGTTTCTGATCCGTATAGAAGAACTGACTGACTTGACGTTTGTATTGAAAATCCAAATTTTGTTGCTGATGCTGCGTCTCTGTATATGACTCAGGCTTATATCAAGTATTTGTAGTTTTGGTGTCTATTTCTTACTGTGTTTAATCTGCTGTTAAATTGATTCTTTTCTTTCGCCTATTCAGCTAACATGATGCAATTAAATTAGACGGTGAATATATATATATATATAGCCTATTTTATTAACTCTTGTACATTTATGTTTGATACTTCTCGCTTGGTGGCTGTACTGTACAGACATACATGTCAGTAAATGTTTTGTTTAAAAGACAATGGGTGTACATCAGAGAAGGGAAGACAGGGTGGGAGAGAGAGTATTTTTTAATTCCCTCTATGCTTGTTAACTCCATCAACTCTGCCTAACACATAAATTTTCATTATTGTTAACATTATGCCTAAAAAAAAGATGATGCATCGATTTGTCATCCAGCAGAAGTAGATGAGTTGTTTGTTTTTCTTTTTTTTACTGCTAATACAGTCCCATTATTTTTGGGACTTAGTCTGTAAACTGTGTTGGTGTAACATCTTTGTTTTCTGTGGTTGTTGTTGTTTGTTAACACTAATAATTCGCAAATTATTCATCTCAATCAATATTACTACTATTACACTATCATTCTTACTATTATTATTATTATTTTCACCATTCCTTTTTCTTTCTCTTCAGCTATTTCAAGATTATTTCACCAAAGGTAGTTGTCCAATGCTAAAAGAAGTTAGACTTCGTATTATGAACAATTTCTTAGAATCTACGCGTACTCCAATAGGCATACGTGCAAAAATTAAACGTCTACAAAAAACCGGTCAATGGACAGAATATATTACTGCTTGAATAATAATAATAATAATAATGGTAGTTCATCTCCATTTCTGTTCATTATCTGCCTGTGTATGCCTATCATCTATTTATCTATCCTATCTACTATCCCATCTGTTTCTTGTGTTGGTAATTTTCTGTCTCCATTTTGCAGATATATTTCTCTTTCTGTGTCTATCTGTTTGTGCATGTAGGTGTTTAGTTATGCTGTAAAGTTCTGCCTGTTAAAAATTACTAATTGTTTGATCTTGTTTTTAGACTCAAGTCACCTTGGTTGTTCTCTACTCATCACACACGGATACGATTACATCTTTGAAAAAAAATTACTACAGAGGTAGATAAATGGATATCTCTCAATCTCTCTCTCCGTGTGTTTGTTTGTGTGCTATTTTAATGTATTATAATTGGGCTTCCTTCAAGTGTTCCATCTGTTCTGTTTTCTTCATTCTATTGTCGTTTTCATATCGAATCATCATTCTTATTTTATATTATACACTCAATTAACTATTCTCTTTCTCTCCCTTTGTTCTCCTCTACTGGAAATTATGTTTATATTTTCCTCAGTGAGAGGTGGCATACTCATTAACACCGTGTATTGACATTACATCATCACTTTAGTGATTGAAAAAGAAGCAGCCTTTATCTGTGTTGTTCATCGCATCTATCTATCTATCTCTATCTATATAAAAGCATATACAGTATGCAAATGTCTGCATTAAGCACATTCAGGTAGAGCTACCTCTTTGTAATATATCTTTTATTTTAACGGAGGGTGTTCATGTTTTGTTCTGTTTGTTCAATTTCTTTCATTCTGTTAGTTGATCAACTGTTTTTGTTTGTTTTCTTCATTTATTTATTTATTTATTTATTTCACATCTGTTTGTTTGTTTGTCTGTCTGTTCTGCATTCATCGTATAACCTGCTCCATTGCTGTTACTACTACTACTACTGCTTCGCCAACTGGATGACGACAATCAGTAACTGAAACTCACTCACCTGTTAAACAATTTTCACAGTTAATATTAACCTTTTTTCTTCTTTCGATTAAAAACATCTTTCAGTCTTTCCTTTTTTTTTGTTTTGTTTTGTTTATATGTGTTCATTACGATTATTTTTCTAAAAATGAGATATAATGTTTGTTTGTTTGCTTGTTTGCTTGCTTTTGTTTGTTTTTTGTCATCATTCATAACACACAAACTCATCGTCATCACCCCAGCGTCATTATCCATTCACTCCACTCATCATTGCTTCTTTTTTGCCATTTTTATTGCTACTGCTGCTGCTTCTGTTTCCTCTACAACAGTTGAAATGCGAATGCTCATTTATTTTCCCTTCATTCTACACTAACATCTATTATATTGGATACTTGTTTTAACCCCCTCTCTTTCTGCGCTACGATCTATTTATTTATCGATCTTAATGTGAATAGAAAACTCTTCATTCTCTTATATACTGGTTACTCTCTGTCTCTCTCTCTCGTTCGCATCTTCACCACTGTCTTTGTTATGAATTAACCTTGTACTTAAACTATAGGGATTTGTGTAATTAATGCATTTCATTAGTGATTGATTGGTCTTCACGTGTATACGCGTGCGTGCGTACACATCTGCGTACATGTGAGTAAGTAAGTAGGTCGGCCTTTAAAAATTGATCCATTATTGACTAATATTGAGAATAACCCTTACTACACTCATTCTCACTCTCAATACAATATCTCACTATCTCTCCTGTATCTATCCTTATCATCAATTTGTCCATACTGTGTTTTTTCCCCCTAACATTTATATATTCTTCAATGTTAGTGATGTTGCTGTTGTTGTTGTTGTTTTTTTAATGCATCGTCATGGTGTTTTTTCTTCCTTTTGGTTTCTTATTTTTCTGCTTTTTGCGAAGAAGAGGAAGAAAATGTTTTTATAATAAATTATTGTACTAGTCAGTATTGTTTGCATATTGAATCATTCTTTTACAGTTGCAGTATTTCATTCTATTGTTATATATATAAATATATATATAAATATGTACATTTATTCATGCTATGTATCCAACATTCACTTGGTAATGTGTACTCATGGTATAAGTGTGTGTATTTATGTGTATGGTACCCACAATCTTAAATGTAGACTAGTCATTATTAGTTGTAGTCAGTCAGTCAGTCTCAGTAATCACTCACATTCATCAATAATGACTATTGCCTTTGTGTGTTTACCCACAATATCATCATCATCAAAGTCAAAAGAGGGGAAAATTCATTTAACGAATACCACGTTTATTATTATTTTTGTATTCTAATGTGTACACATTCATTCAAATCAAGATGACAAATGGTCGGGAGATAGATGGTTTGTGTTGGAAAAATAGTGTGTGTGTGTATGTGTGCAAGTCTGTGAATTAATATATACTACTACAGCTGCATTAAATAAATTTGCCATCATCAAACTATCAAGTTAATTCGTTGTAATTCTTCCCTATTTAAGAAAAAAAATTATAAACTCTACAACATTCACCTCAAGTTTATTTGAGTTTTCATAAAAATGGTTGTTACTCGTTCTCCTCTTCATTTATGCTTGTATGGTTGAATTCACACACACACACACACGTACAGATAATCTCATTGTTTGTATACGTTCCTTTTTCACTTATATCTGTGTTTTCATTTTGTATTGAGTTTTGTAATTAACATCTATCTACCTATCTATCTATCTCCCTCTCCGTTTCTCTCTCTCCCTCTCTCCCCCACACATCCACACACACACACACACATACAGGTACACACTCACCTGATACGCTGTGTTATTTGTTTGTTTGTTTTTTTGTATCCACTGGATTGTTTTAAAGTATGCAGTTTTGAAAATTGAATGTTCTGTTTAATGATAGTAAACAAATTTGTTTCATTACTGGTCTTATAACTAAATCACAACTGCTATTACTGCTAATAGGATACTTATGTATCATCTATTATGTTAATTATTGATAGGATTAGTAGTGGTTTAGCCACGCGAGAGATCTCGGTTCACAATACCTGATCGATATACTCTCAAAACTTCTTCTCCGAGTTTACTAGCCTCTGTAAAAGAGGAAAGATGGGGTGTGAGTCTAGCCACCCCCCCCCCACTTCCTTGAAACAACACCACTGATACTGAAACTTTAAAGCTTGAAGACCACTCGGAGTGTAGAGGTATAAACAAAAAATTAGTAGAAGTATGCGGTATTTTGCGTCGGTGGCACAGCAATAGAATGCTCGTCGACCACGCATGTGGTCCGGGGTTCGATCCCCGACCGACGCACCCCTTTACCTCGTTAAGCCAATAATAAGACTAGTAAAGAGGGAAGCTTGGGCATGAGGCTAGCAACTCCATCCCGTAAAAAATAAACACCACTGCTACCGAAACTTCAAGCCATTAGCTTGAAGCCCTATGTTCCACTGGGAACGTGAAGGAATAATAATTATAATAATAATAATAATAAACGCGATATTTTGTTAATATCTGTTGCATGGAAACTTCCCGTCTGTTTCAGTTTCCATATATAGATTATTGAAAAGTAACTAAAATCATAACCATTAAGTAATAATTTAAGTCTGGTTGTCATGTAAACGAAACGTTTATGCATAAATCAAGGTAGTAAGTATTTATCACTAATTTTATCTAACAATATACGATATCACATCATATCAGATTGTGAAGGCAGTGTAAGTAAAGTATTCACCTTGGACACAAAGTTCGTAAGATAGTTATCTAAACTGCTGAACAATGCTAACATGGATTGGTCGGAGTGAATCAGTGAATGCAAGTGCTCTATCGACACCGACTGACTGTATTATTATTATTATTATTCCGATGGGTTCCGAGTAGAATATGGGCCTTTAATAGCACATCTCCATTTCGTCCGACTCTCAGCGGTCCTCTTCGGCTGGCCCCACGTGTGCGCAGAGGAGTCTTTCATCTTCTCTTCACATGTAGTCTCCTCCATGTCATCCTCGGATGCCCGAGTCGTCATTTCCCATTCGGGTGCCACTGAAGCTCTGGCCTGGCGTCCGATGTCATCCGACGGTCTCCTAAGCGTGTATTCGATCCGTCTCTGTTTGTTTTTTCGGCATATTTGTTGAGCAATAGGTTCTTGGTCAGTTTGTTCCCATTAGTTCCTTGTTGCTAATTCTTTCTGGTCATTCGATCTTGAGTGTGGAGCGAAGACAGCTATTAATGAAAATTTACTGTAACCTGTTGGAAATGCTTTTCGTGACGCGCCAAGTTTCAAACTGTATTTATTGTAAAATCTTCAATTCATTAGTATGTAAGCTATTAGAGGGTTCAAAATGGAAACGATGTACCGTTGCTGATATCGATTTGCAATGAAATCTGTACTGTAATGAATTCTAAACTGACGAAATTCATAGATTACGAGTAAACTTAAGTAATAACTTGACTCCTCCGTTGTATTATGTTTGATATTCAAATAAATACTAATAGACAGGAATTGTGAATTCAGAACTTCTTCATTCTCCTCTTACACAACAGACTTTTTACCAAAGAATTTGTATCTATCCATAAGATAGGATTAGTGACAGCGTGTCACATGACAGCGTTATGAAATTGTGAAATGATATTTTGGTTTAAGTATAACAAGTCCAATTTTCGATATATACACAGTCGATGTTAACAGTAGCAAAGATTCTCAGTGCTCGTAAATTCTCTAGTTTATTAACTAAACTATGTACTTGACTGACACTAAAAGTAAATTGATTACTTTGTTATATATTATACACATGTACTGAACATTTTAACGGCATAGGCTCCAGCATCAGTTATTACATAGGTTTGTATTTCTTAGGTTATACATCTGCTGTCCTATATGAGTACTAAACTACCTGGATTCTAAGTTCATTCTTGATCCAACTCCTAATATATAATAATTTACTTGGTTGGTTTTGTACAATTGCATAGATATACATGAAATAAATGACAAGTTTAGCCTCCATATGTTAACACTTGACTGACCATTAAGTCGTTAGCTTCAAA